ACAAACTTGGCGTCCGTTCACCGAGACAGTGAGCTGCGTTAAGAACCCAGTTCGTGCTAATCAATGAACCACCACATTCATGAGCTCCTTTTCTTTGGAGTGAAATCATCCACGGTCATGAGTTGGGCGTGGCGTTCAGACCACCAATCACGAGATATTTAGTAGGGCGGAAACCGCATGCTATATAGAGAATAGAACATGAACAATAAATCGAAAATAAATATGTCGGTTCAGGCTGCTTTCACTAATGATTTTCTCTATATTAGACTTCTAGTCAACGCCAAGATGAATATTTTCTCAGCCTTTGCATCTGAAAAGGATTTTTCCGTGTTTACGGTTTGACCATTAGATGAAAATGAACTAAGGGTACGAACAGTTCTTCTCATGTTATGTCACCCACGTTCACACGCTCTCTCATTCAAAGCAATGATTGTGTATTCCAAACAATCTCAAATACACTCCTATATTTTACAACGACTAAAATACACCTTTGAAGATGAATCCAGATGCAGAAATCTCAGATTTGGGTGGCATCAAAACTGTTTCAATAATAAAGTAACAGACTTACCCGGTAATTTTAAAAATCGAGACGATAAAGAGTTATTCTCTGGAGCTGGAAAGAATGAATGCACGATTTTTTGTGCAGTATCACTGCGTATTTATACGAGTTAAAACGCGTAGAGTGTCTCGACAATAGAGAGACTACGGAAAAATGTACGCAAAGATGACGACGAGTTACTAAGGAATGACTTGAAACAATCAAAGAGGAGAAGTTTAAAATTCTTTCACTTTAGCTCCACTAAATAAAAAACCATTAGGTTCATTATGGCAGTTTGGCTGAGCGCCACCCACTCATGATAACGCGTGAATACACTACGACACCTAAAAATGACAGAGCCAAGCGGCAGTTTACAGAGAAGGCTACTGCCAGAACGGAGGCCAGGAAAAACCTGCTAAAAAAAAAAACCCTGCTGGGGAAAAATTAGGTAGGAAATCTGGGTAGGAGCAATGGCTTAAGCTCTGAATGCTCATCTTACGAGGGCCACGCTGCTATGACAGAATCAGAAAGAAAGTGTGAACTACTACTAAACTATAGCAGAAAAAAAACTTGCTTAGTTTTGCCGTCGGCCTAGAATGATCTCCCACGTGACAAACCTCTCATATATAGCTGTCATCATGATGGACTGAACAGGTCCAGTCCCCACTGCGCAGAAATATTTCATTTCCGCAACTTTTGTTGTTCATTTCATTAAGTTTTCATTTTCATAAGTCTACCCACAACCCCAAACGAATTTTCTACTGTTTGTTTTCAAATAGATCATGCAATATTCTCCTAACTCCTTACACGAAACTGACGAACTTGGTCGAAGATTGCCCTATTATCAGTCGTTTTACCATCCATGCGCAGATCCCTCTATAAGAAATCAGAGATGGCGAAAGTAAGTTACAACATATCCATGTAATCGCTCCTCTGTTGGGGAAAATTTAGTCGGCTGCTTGCAATGCACCTGTTAAATTTCTCACCGTATCAGTCAACATTCTTTCGGGAGTTCCAATTTTTGTGCAGCTGGGCAAAAAGAAACACCTTAGAGCAAAAGCTTTTAAGCAGCGGAAAATTCATTCAATACCGTGAGAATATAGCCCTAGGAACAAAGACATCAACTTGTTTTGATCTTTTTTGAAGTATAATGTACTGCATTATAGTCATGTTTTGCGAACCATAGCAGTAATTTTCAATCACGTGTCGATAGAAATCCCAGATAACATTTGTTCTCCCTTTCTTTGCTCTGTGATTGGTCCAGAAAACTCGCGCCACTCTCTCAACCAATCAGATGTAGAACTAAAACGAATCCCGCCCCGCGTTTTCACGTCCTTTAGCGCAAGTTGATTGTTCTTACTTTATAGTTGGCGAAATGTGGCAAAATTCAGGAACTTTGTACGTTTTTTGTAAACACTTGCATTAACCGAAATATTCATCGACATTAACGATCTATTTTCCCATTCACGAACATAACCGTCCAAAATACAGGGACGGTTAAAAAACTTATCAGTTTCAGGATTGCCTATTTCACAATGTTATTTCTATTCAACTATTTCAGTAAAGGTTTAAATTCATGACGTCATCTTAGATTACTTTCGCGCGCATCGTTATCGTATTTGAATATGACGTCACAAAGCGTTAACGATCACTTGAGATTATTTAGTTCAACTTCGTACGCGTTTTTGAACAGCTTCGAGATGTTTTCGAGAAAACAAGGCATTGTGCTTATCGTGATGATTTTCTGCTTTTATACTGAAGCCAAGCTTGAATGTCCGTTGTGGTGTGACTGTACAGATGACTTCTCAGTCGTAGTCTGCCGAGGAATGGAGAAATTCCCCGCATTCAGCTTTGCATCAAACGTCAAAACTCTGTAAGTTATACTTCAACTTTCCCACATGCGACTATTTGAAACTGTGATCGGCATTCAAATGATTAAAAAGTGTTTTCTAGAAAGTTGTATTTACAAGGTGGATAAGGGTGATTGTGTTACCGGAAAATTAAGTCAGTCATTTACTTTATTTGTTTGTCTGTTTTTGTTTGTTTATTTGTTTGTTTGTTTTTGCAGGGATTTGACATATGGAAAAATAAAACACATTTCCTTTAAAGACGTGAGGGCTTACTCAAACCTGGAGTAATTGTAAGTGGAGAAAAACCTCAAAGATTTTTTCTGAGTCTAGAAGGTACTCGAAAGCGCCGAGTTCTTGTCACTATTTGTTAGGAGGTAACAACAATAGAACAAATCATATCCTGGAAGACTAAATTTAAAAAAGTTTCAATGTTGTTTTGTTGTTGTTGTTGTTGTTTTTATCCCAGGTTTATCAATCATAATCCTTTGGACTGCGATCACGTGACTATCCACACGCTGAAACACTTGAGAGAGACTGCGGGATTGAAGTCATTTGACGGCCACAAAATTAAATGTCCGAGAAAACCACCACTGATGGATAAGGGGCTCTATGGTAAGCTAAACCTATAAATCTTTGCTATACAAGCGCCTTTGCTAAGGAAAACTTTTTAATTCAAATGCGATTTTCAAATCAAACATGCGCCAGTCATACCTGATTTTAACTACATTCAGCGATGAAATCAACCTGCAAAACCTTTCTTACAGACCACAATCATGATGGACATTATCATCCTCATCACTGTCTGACAGGAGGTGCACCTCTGATTTATTTTCATCAAGGAAGCTTTTCTCCAATGGCGATGGCTGGTGGGATCGTGATGATTGTTCTGAGCATGCTCAGTGTGGCTGTTGTTTGTTGGGTCTTGCTGCGCTATCGGCGCAAATTATCTCGGTGAGCCTGTTATTCATTGTCTTACAGGGCACACGACAAAACCAATACTTCGTCAGTCCTTGGTAGTTAGCTTGCTAATTCTTGTTCTCCATACTAGAACAGTTGAATAAGCAGGAAGAAATAAAATAAATTTATGATTTATTTCGAGCTCAAAACACAACAAAACTGAGATGGCTACTACGGGAAAAAAAGAGTAATGAAGCCCGCGGTCCACAGCGGCAAAACCAGAAAAGGGCGGGAAAACGAGTGATATTTAAACAAATCCTTCTTTTACAGTTTACAGTTCTTAACAATGGTAAGCGCCCTTACTGACTTTGTCCTTTACTTCCGATCCAGAAAAACTGAGCGTCAAACCTTGGCTGCTGAAGATCCCCTCAGCAAAATGGAGAAAGGACCTGGATATGAATCCGACACTATTGAACACTTGTTAAAGAAAGGCTTAAAGAAACAACGAAGAAGTTCCCAAGGATATCCTGAGCGGGCCATTGTAAATACAGATGATTCGGATGTAGTGGAGGAAGTAGATTATCTGAGGAAGAAGATGATAAAACAACGAAGAAGTTCCCAGGGATATCCTGAAAACGTAAAATCTGATGATTCGCTTATGACGGAAGAAGAAGATTGTTTGAAGAAGGGAATGGAGAAACAAAGAAGCATGAGTCAAGGATTTGCTCTGGGGGCCGTATCCAGTGACGAGGACTAGAATTGAGATTTGCCTTTGAGGAGAACAATGTGATAAATGAGTTTTATACTTTCAAATGAAAACACTGTGAAAGTTTAATCACCACCGACTAACTTTTCCCTTTATTTATTAACAAAGCAAAGAAGTACCTTTCTTCACAATGCTTTAATCAGTTATGTCTCAAATGTTTCATCCGCTTTACAGTTTGAGTTTCTTTGAGGTCTCGCACTTTCATGAGAGACATTTTTCACATTTTGCTTCAACTTAAAAAAGTAATTTTATCAGAAAAAAAAGTTTTTTTTTAATGTAAACGCTGAAATTTTATTCCATCAAAAATTGTCATCACCTATTCTTTATTTCCCAAGATAGACTTTCAAAACCAAGAAATACTTCACAATGATTTGATCAGCTATATTTCCCATGTTTCCTCCGTTTTACAGTTTGTGTTTCCTAAAGGTCTCACACGTTCAAAAGACAGTTTCATATTTCGATTGTAACTTAAAAAAAATCCATGAGGAAAAAAAGAATAAAGTTTTGTGTTTTATGAAGTGCATTTGAAACAATTAAACACTTGTTAAAGGAACACTTGTTAAAGGAAGCTTTAAAGAAACAGCGTAGAGCTCCCGGCAAGGACATTCTGAACGGGCCATCATAAACATGGATGATTCATGTTCACGATAGCCTCGTTCAGGATATCAACAAGGAGGAGGTTCCCAGGGATATCCTGAAAACCCAATATATAACGAAAGATTATAGTTTAAACGGGAACGGGAGAAACAAAGAAACATGGAGAAAGGGACTGGAAACGAGTCTGACACGACTGCACAGTCATGAAAGGCAGGTTTAAGGAAACAACGAAGAGGTTCCCAGGGATATCTTGATCAAGTGAAATTTAATGGCACCCTTTTGACGGAAGACGATTGTTTGAAGAAGGAAATGAAGAAACAAAGAATCATATCTCAGAGATATGTTCTCGGAACTGAGACGAGCGGCGAGGATTGTGCTGTGGTGGAGATCAAAACTTGAATCTCTTTTTTTTCCTTCGCTTATTAACAAAACCATGCTTGTAATGCCTATAGTCAAGAACTATTCACCGAAGAGGCAGTGACTAGAGGTGGACATTTAGGTAAATATTCACCAACGCTCAATGCAGGTGCGAACGCAGAACCTCAAACATAGCTGCTTCCTTCAAAGTGAAACACCTATGTAAAGGCGTGCGCAATCTAAAACTTTGCCTCAATTCTTCTACCACCACACAAATTTTAAACAGTGAACCCTTTTGAGTATGTCTTGTTAAGAGATGGACAAACCTTCATCGAGCTGATTTGTGGGTAATCATTGGACACACGATATACGGGGTCTCAACGTGGCATGTTTAACCACCAGTCTTCAAGAGCGTAAAATTTAATCGTCCACGCTCAAAAGGGAAACATGTTTAGTCAACCGAAACATCATTCATTATTACTCACTGTCAAACGGTCCCAACCATGTAAATTGAACGATCTCTTTTACCACCTTACCGCGAGAAGTCTGGGTACAAGACTTCTCTAAGAGTTGCTAATATACGAGAAGATAGATCATTGGCTAAGAGGCAGCATGTGTAGTGTATAGGATGCCAACGAGCATGAAATATGCGCGATGTAATGCGAGGCGTGATGGTGTGATGTAATACCCTCGAGACCTGCATATATACAGCATGTGTTTAATTATTTAGTTAGTTCTCTTAGGTACGTGAATAAAACCGATTTCATTTTAACCGCTGTGTACTACAGCATGACCAAAAACAAATTTCTTCAAATACATTTTTATTCACAGACACACCTCATTCAGTTGTTCATTCATCCAGAATTTCTAAAACAAATGATGCCCCTTTTCCAAGATTGTTGTCTAAAAATAAACCTATCATGGTGAAAATTGAGAAAACTTTGATTAAGGAGCCACATACTAGCTATTTATTTCCCTATCACTGAATTCAAAATGGCAATTTGCAGATGTTTTGAGGACATTCTTTGTTAAAACAAGCTAGTATTCCTGTCTGTAATGCCATAAACGTACTCTCAAAATGTTTTGCAGTGGAAAAGAAAATCAGTTGGTTTGTCTGCTGGGTTGATTCAGTGTGAAATTGTCACCAAGTTCTGACTAGGGCAAATTCACCACCTTCTTTTCAAGAAAATCAATCCCATCCTCCAGAAAAACCCACAAATTTCTCAACATAACTATACACCCTAGCATCAGTATGTATATTCTCCATACTGTTCACTATAACTTTCTTGAGGTGCTGACAAGGAGAATTTGTCAAACAATCAAGATCTTCTTTAGTGATCGTTTCCTAAGTTCTTGCAACCTTACTGTTTGATTCAGGGGTAATATTGTGTTGAGAAATTAGTTGCTAGTCTCTTTTGTTTCAAAGGGTCAAGCTATTAAGAATAAAAATTTACTTACAAGGTAGATGCAGAAAGAAAACATGCAGAAAGGTGTCCTAAAAATGATTTAATTGATTGAGTAACTCTCAACAACACCTTGACAGTGATTTCAACGTCTTCCCAAGAAGCAACATCAGGGATGCTACCTTTGACATCACTGTCAAGAAGTAAAACACTATATACAGCAAGGGCCTCTTCATATGAATCCTGTGCCCAAGACAGCCTACAGGCAACTCCCCCCTCCCTGCAAGAAAAACAATAACTAAATAATAAATGTGTGGTAAATTTTATAAGTGGGAAATGGAGACTTCAGTGAAGGAACCTGACAGAAACAGGCTAGTGTACAAAGTACAATAAGGGGATATCACAGATTATTGCTGTGGCAGGATGTGGGATACAAAACCAGCCTGAGCCAGGTTCATATGAAGAGGCACCACAACTTAAAAAAAAAAAATTCAGTGTATTTCGCATAGCTGTTACTCCCATCCACAAGAGCAAACCAAGTGACCATGGACATCAGCAAGCACTGGTTTCCACACTGGGCTCTATATGGAGGGAATACCTCACACTTGTGGTACTTCTTCTCCTCAACACGTGTGATGCCCTCTTCATTTGGGGCCTGTCTGTATGCGTGACAGTCAGCCAGCTACCAGAAACAAGCAACCCTGGCATTAGGACTGTGGTGGAAACTCTTCATCCCTTCCTCATTTGTAAACACTTTTTTTTTTTTATTTTTCAGCAGCTGGGTGAGTTTATACCGTTATCCTGGCTGGTTGCTTTCTTCTTCATTATGCTTTCTGACCTAAATAGGAAGAACAGACAGTTGAAAATTGCTTGAAAAAAATCTATAACACAAGCAATACAACCTCATGATGGTCTGACTCTCCAAGGGGTGAGTTTGCAGCTCATTGTTAGACCAACATTGTGGAATATGGAGACATGTAGTTTTATCATAATTCCACAATTATGCCATTTTTACCATACTGAGGCACTGAAATGCACAAAATATGCCACGGTATTTCTCTGCAGAATGCAGCAAAAATACAGATGGATGGCAGCTTACTTCTGAAGCACTCTAGAATTTTTTGTTGGCCTTTAAAACAACAGCTTTTACACATGCCTTATGTCATCCATGCATGACGCTCCAAATAAGCCAAAATACTAGAAAATGAAAAAATTGTGGGATGATAAATCCCTTATTCAATGGTTTAACATATAATAAACATACAATTGCAAGTGGACACCTTGCCCACTACTCGCATTTCCCCTCATCCCTACAGAGTTAAGAAAAATATCATATAATTATGTTAAACCATTGAATAAGATAAACAAATTCCTCAAGGAGACTCAGAATCGTTTCTTTGTCCCATACCATTAGTTAGACCAAAAGACCTCTTTCTCTATAAGTAGTACCCATAAATGTGGGTATGCATCAGTGGTCTCAAAGTATCATGGCGATTTTGGGTCTAATGAAGCCACTGGGGCATCATTACTAGTGATTGTGAAGGTTAGTTCAACTGTTTCTGGACCAGGGGCCCATTTCTCAAAAGTCCTGGTAACTAAATGGACCCGAAGCCACATTTTAAAATCAAAATTTAATCAATAGAGAAGCAGGTTCTGGCATTTTAAAATCAAAATTTAATCAATAGAGAAGCAGGTTCTGATACCCTGACCAGTCCATTTTGTTTCTTTAGCTGCTTGTTTTTATAGTCTAATTCTCAAAACCTTTAAAACCCTTATCTTGAATGAAGACAGAACAGCTTTATGCGCCTGTTAAGTAACCGAGACCTTTGAGAAACAGGCCCCAGATGCCATTCTATTGTAGTCAAGCCCCAAGCATTTCATACGGTTTCCCTAGCTGTCTCCTGGTACCCATTTAAACTCCCAAATGGACAGAGAGTAAAGTATCTTGCCCAAGAACACAACACATCAACCTGGAGGGAACTTGAACCAAGACATTTACTACACAAGAAATCACATCAACTCAACTCTCAAAAATAAAAAAACCACTACCTCCTTTTTTTCTCAATTCTCATTCATTGAGTATACTTACAATCTTGATGATGTGTTCACGAGATTTTTCATTTCCACGACAGTCACTCTCTTGGTAAGGCGGATCAATTGTTACTTCATTCATGACCACGATACTTTTCCCATTCCACTTTACATCATTAATTCTACGGAATCAATAGAGATTTATTCTAAATGTAACCTACAGTACATTGCTGATATCATTAATCATATAATAATAATAATATCATAATATAATCATAATCATAATATCATAGTCAACAGGGCTCGACACTAATGGTAGCCAACTAGCCACAGACCAGTAGAAATTCAGTTTTGGCTAGTGGTTTTCAATTTCCACAAGCCAGTTTGGCTAGTGAACAAACTGAAATTGCTGCAACATCTCAGTTGTCACAAGCTACTTGGCTGGTAAGTTGAAAAGTTCTTGTTGAGCCCGGCCTATCCACTGATTTTTGTGCAACTCCATCGACTACTTAACGTCACATGGTACCAAGTCACCTGATTGTTGTCACACAACAACCTCAGTTTACACAAATATTTGTCCTCTGACTATTGCTGTTGAAAAACTAGTCCAGAACATATTTCTGAAGAAAATGCAAATTAAACAACATCTCTTTAGTATTAAAATTCTCAACAACCAGGTTAATTTTGCTTATATTTATAGGTATACATTGTCAAACAAAAAGTTCAAACAAAAAGTTCAAATCAAAAACATTGTTGGGATAAAATTCTAATTTCATCAAGCTTGAAAGTTGTCTATCCTACTCTCGAAATTGGTATTTGAATCATGTTTGGTTACATTACATATTGTTTAGGACATCACTCAATGATGCCACTTGTTCAAAATAGAATAAGAAAGATGGTAAGTTTTGAACTCCGTAAAGAAATAGAGCAGATGTTTTTCAACTTGTCACGTTACAATCCTAGCAGTATCCCAAATCCTTTGTCATCTTGTAACGAACTTGCACCTACTATTCACAACATCAAAACTTTTAGGGGAACTAAAAAGCTTTCTGCATTCAACATACTATTTTTGTAGAGTGAATAACTTTACAAGATTTTGCACATAAAACACAAAGCCAAATTCAATTTTTTACAGACACAAAATGGAACTGTATCAAACTTACGTTTTGTTTATGGTGTCGAATAGCTTTTGTGCTCCTGGTGTTACATTAATACCTATTTTCTCAACTGCTCGTCGTTTCTGCTCAAGAGCTGATGCAATCTTTTTATCAATTTTCTCGAGTTCTATGCTTGGAAGAGAAGGAGGTGGCTTGTTGGACACTTCTGTCACATTCAGTGTCTTTATGTGAGCCAAGTTCAACATCCTAGTATCTGTCACATTTTTCCTAGGATTTTTGGAGGATTCTACAAAGCATGTTAAGGTTAACTGATAATGTAGTATCTTCTAGCCACAGCAAATCAATTGGTCTAGATTATAGACAGTAACTTGTGTGTACTAATGGATAAAAAAACTAGTGAAAATATACAGTTGTAACATTTGTTTGTAAATACATTTACAACTTACAATAGACCTAACTTGGCTTTTGTTAGAAAATAAAGTTTAATGGACAGCATTGCTGAATGCTACTGATGACATTTAATTTCAGTATCATAAAAATAAAAGTAATCTTAACAGCAAGTTACAACAAAGGAAAGTTAAAATTAATCCAAAGAAAAAGTCGCAAACTGTTCCAAAAAAAACCACTGGTGATCAAGTTGTGGTTGGTCTTTTTTTTGTATCTGATTGTTTAAGAGGATGGGGCCAGTTTTCTGGATCAATTGCATATCAAAGTGAAGCAAAACCAAGGCAATCCTGCAATCCTTATAGACAACCATTTCAGACTACTTCTACAAAACTGGATTTATCCACCCTCAATAGTGTTTATAGTGAAAAGGCTAGTGGAGCCAACCAAATCGATAAAAAAAAAAAAAAATCATTCAAATGAAACATTGTCATGTTAAAAACTGCAACCACTGGGAGGCAAATGAATAATTAATTTGAAAATTTTTTTTTTGAGTCAATTACTAAAAAAATCAGTTGAATTTTAGTTAGACAATGCAAGCTGCATACACATAGAAAAGTTCTGAAGTTAAGGAGTCTGCATCCTCTTAAGAAGCCACTTGACAGCAAAGAATCAAAAGGACTTTATAAACTTCACTTAACTCAAAACAGTGACATCTCTGAGACAAGATGTGGGAAGAAAATATCTCATGTACAAGCTCATTAATTAAATTAATGCGTTTCCCACACTGCCCTCTTCCTGTTTGGGTTTCTTGGCTGATTAAAATTAGTGGAAGAAGATATCACTGTAAAAATTGAACGTTCCCTTTCCGAGTAGGGTAATCACCAATGATCGCTGTAATCAGGAAACAACGGGAACATTCTCACGGATTCAATTTACAGCTCCGTTGAATTACAACTTCATTAAAAAATAATTATTTGCCGCTACCTATATCGAAAGAGGACGTTTACAAAATCTGTAATAGCTTACAAAACAAATTCACAGCACTGACTTAACACATGTAAAAACAAAGAAGATATTGTACAAACTTTGAAATTACACAAAATAAAAGATCCTGTTTAGGTAAATTTAACATTTTGATTGATGGTGTAAAAATCGCAGCTCAAGATCTTTTGGCCAATTTTCCACACCACGAGACTCCAGATAGCGGCAATACGTTCCCACGAAAAAAATAAAAACAAGCGATCAAAGAAAAAAGGATACTTATTATTAAAAGCTTTGCTCCGTAGTCGAAAGCCACAACTTCTCCTTCGATGTTGTCATCAAAGTAAGTGGTACAAACCACTCTAGTTCCCGGTGGAATTTCTTTGCTGTCTTTTGCGTCGCCAGTAGCCATGTTTCCACCGGCACTTCCAGTCATGCGTACACGACTTCACAACCTCTTCGGTCACTCGTTTTTGGAGAGTTTATAGTTTGATCTTCTTTTCGAGTAGTAATTCTTTTCCAATATAAACTTTTGAACTCCTTTAATTGGCTTTAAGTTACAAATAGCGACATTTTCATTCATGAAAACTGCGAAAAATTAAAAAAATCCTCTTTTCTACTCAAGAATTGATCCCTAAATCATCTTTACTCTAATCTTTTTCCTGGGTATGTAAAACCGCTGACACGATCACAACAGTTAGCACAACAAAGATGGCGGACGAAATGGTGAGATTTTATTCTATTTTACGTTTTGTTTTGATCTTTCAGCTTGACACATGGCGAGCACCATGCGGAAAACAGAATTTTATTTATATCGATACGTCTATATCTATGTTCAAAATCATATTTAGGACAGATCATGATCGCCATAAGATAATGAAAGGTTCTATAAAATTTGGAAAAGGTACGAGCAGGTTCTTACAGTGTAATGCTCTTCTCCTAAACAAAATTGGTTGAGGCACTTCTTTTTAACTTGTAATGTTTTGTTGCCCTTTTTCTATCTTCCAATGTTGTTGTTTACCTCTGTGTCCTTGGTATACTCCGAGTGACAAGAGACGCTGGGAGTGTCCCAGCATTTTTTTACCCATAAGTTTACCGTCGTATTAGAAAATGAAAACGAAATGATACAGATTTTTTGATACATTTTAAAGCTTGGTTGGAGCAACTTCAGAATACCTGGCTACATCATTTACATGTTTCGAGAGGCTTTGAAGAACGAGGCATAACATAATAGACGCTATTCTTACATGTGCCGAGAGGCTTTGAAGAACGAGGCATAACATAATAGACGCTATTCTTATTCGGTGACATGAAGACGAGTGGCCTGGTATTCTGCAGTTTAGCCGCTTGTTTGAACCAACTTTGGGATTCTGATGTACCTGTAATCATTTCAATGGGAAACATGAACAGGTATAAAAACCTGTTCATAAAATATATAAACCATCGTTGTTATTGTCTTGAGAAAGTAAAGTTTATTTGATTTGTTTTAGGATATTGATGACCTTTTGCTTGCTTTGGCCTCCATGGGGTTTGAACTTGAAGACTGTCAGATGGCTCTAGAAGCAGGCAATAACACTTTGGAATCTGCAGTAGAATGGTAATTCAATTTTTTTTCTAATTAAGTATGTATATACACTTGCACACATTTAGAATCGAATTCAGTGGGTTCAGAACATGCCCATGAAACAGGATGAGCTCTGATTTGGAATCAGGTTAAGTTGACTGCTGCATTCAAAGGGTTAACCCTCCTATCCCTTAGAGAGACTAATATGTAATGGGTCGTGATCCCATCTTGTCCACCAATTTAAGAAAAAATTCATTTGTCACTTGCACTTTAAACAGTATTTCAGGTGTCACAAATTTAAAGGGGAAAACTTAAAACTTCCTTTCTTGTGGGTGAGGTTTTCAGGAAATCTTGAGGTTTTCACAATAGTTAAAGGAAAAATTTGCTGATCATGTTTACATCAGGAGGCAAATCACACCTCACCACAGTTCATAAATTCATGGATCACATCTGTTCACCTTTCTGTTAAATCCATGCGTCAGATATTAGTTTCGGCCTTACCAGTAATCACACGTCACATATAAAAATAAATCCTTTGTCACTCTCTCAGTATTGACTTATGCAGAAGATGACTTTTGCCTCTCCTTAGAAGTTATGTGTATTTCTTATTTATTTATTTTTTTAATGGATTCTTGGTTCGTATTTTCCTCAGGTTGGTAGCAAGAAGATCAAATCCAAGCAATTGTGTTTCTAAACCTGGTCCTGACCCAACTGTTGAAGTATGTGTATGAAACACGTTAAGTACACATTAATTCTTATATTCTGATATCACAAGGAAAAACTAGATGCTTGCCACTCAAAGAGGGCAAAGGTTTAAGAGAGAAAATCTTTTTCTTTTAATTTACATTTCATTTTTCACAGCTCAAGGTTTCTTGTGAAGAAGCCTCTAGTGCACCAAGTGATATGACTCAGTTGTTGTCCACTTTGTCAAGCCGCTATACAGTGAGTGAGGAACATCAAAAAGCTAAGGAACAGTTTATAGAAAAGGAGAGAGAAACTGCAAGGATGGAAGCCAAGAGGAGAAAACTAATGGAGAAACGAGTGAGAGAACTTAGTTTCCCAAGATTTTGTTTTTATTGCTCAAATTTTTTTTTTATCAAGTGAAAGAAAAGTCCCTTTTTGCCTGAGATAGCGTATAAGTAAAGGTTGATATTATGCCTGATGAAGGTCAGAAAATTATAGGACTTTTTTAAACTATCATCAATGGGAATTCTTGATTATGATGATGTTAGTGACACATTCTGTGTAAGTTGTATGTAAAAAAACAAAGCTTGAAAAGTGCTCTATGGAAATAACAGAATTGGAAACATTTTAAAATTAGTTTTGTTTCTTTCCCATTATTATTAACTCAGTTCTTTCCTTTGATGTTCTGTATTGGTCACTCTATAAACAGTGAGAGAAGGGCAAAGGGATAAGTGGAAATATATTAGGATCATCAGTTGAGTGAGGCATGGAAAAGTTTGGTCCTAAAATAATGGTAACAGTTTTTAATGGTAACCAAATGTCAAGAGCCCTGCATCACCCATTGTCAAATGTGAAATCCTGCCAAAAGAAGTCAAAAGATACTTTGCCACTGGAAAAAGAGCCAGTCACCTAAGACCACAACACAATTTTCACATCAAAACATGATCACCAAACTTGTGCTGCACCTCTCGACTGAAAATTGTAGTAATAATTGTAGCAATATTTTTCTGTGAATAGTTAGCAATTTTCCATTTATATTAGGATAGGGGAACACTGGCTATAAGCTGATATGAGTCTGATTTGCTTTCATTAAGAAATAACTCGACAAGATTTATTTTATTTCATTTTCAACTTTACTTCTTCCAAGAAAAAAAATGTTTCTTCCTTCATCAAGGGTACAGGTTAAAGTTGTCGGTTATTGCAAACCTATTAGTTTGTGTATACATCTAAAGCTAGTTTGTTTTTATTTTTACTTTTCTCATCTTTTCAGGCACGTCAGGAAGTTCTTCAGCAAATAGCTGCAGACAAAGTCAGTAGGCATCATAAGAAACCAAAATCAACTGGACACCTCATGATGAGTCAGACAACAAATAAAAGCAGGGAGCCTAATGAAAGCTCAAAACAAAAAAAACAGTGTTTGATTCAGGTGTGTTTATATATGTATACAGCAGTTTCTAGATTGGTTGTTGCAAAAAAAGTGTAAAAGGGCATGCAGCAAGCCTGAAAGGTATTGTGGGTAGTTGTCGCGCTGCAATTCTTTGGCCTGAAATCTGAGAAAAACATCACAGTAAGGAGGCAGTGTGGATTTGATAAATTTGTTAATTTTTTTAACTTATAAAAATTCATTGATTTGTGGATACTCAGATCACCTTTACAAGTTTGTTGGGAGCACTTTTGTCCTTTTTTCTGCCAACCTTTCTCAAAACAGCGGTATGAAATGCTACTAATGGTAACTGTAAATGACATTCCGCCAATCTTTCATAGCACTTGCTCATTTCAAATGTTGAAGTAATATTTAGTTCTTATTAACCGAGCGGGAGGTCTGTATGGGAGAATCTTGACCGAGGTCACCAGTAGAGACCGAATGCAGTGAAGTCTGTACTAGCGACCGAGGTCAAGATTCTCCCTTACAGACCAACCTAGGTCGGTTAATAAGATGTTTATTATATGGCTGTGTCTTATATGCCAATTTTTTTAATATTCTTTGTACCTTTTTTTTCTAGACCAGTCTAGATGCTGGTCTAGATGGGAATATCTAGACCGCTTTCAATATTGATTTCAGCTAATCAAATTCATGAATTCGGTAGTTCCCAGTCCTTGTGAGACACAGCCATATAGTAAAGAATGATTAAAGTGTTTGCATTTTTCAAACATGTTAATCACTTGACATTTTCTTAGCACTTTGTAAATTGTATCAAGTGTTTCAATTTACTCAGATAAGAAGTCCATCTGGTCAAGTGCAAAGGCAGACATTTCCCTCAGATGCCAAACTCCAAGATGTTGTGATGTTCATCTGTATCCAGTACAATCTAAATTCTGCCAGCTTTGAACTTTTGCAGGTGTAGTATAAACGATTAAATGATTCTTGACACTCGTGATTTTGTATATTAAACATTTAAAATTTTGTATTCTATGTGTAGCTCCAAAATAACAAACCCTCGGTGAGAAGACTTTCATATAAACCAGAACATGGTATAATTAATGTATTCAAAGAGTTTCTATTGGTCAGGGTTAATAGCAATATTAAGAAAGGAGATATTATACCATGGCTAAACTGCAAGTCACTGAGTAGTTCATCGTTTAATTTTTCCTTTTTTCAAAAGAAAGCTTGACTTATGTATAGCTTTGAGTGATAGTTACTCATGTTTTTAGATTCGTAATAATATAAAAATTGAATTTGAAAGTGATCTCGCAGTAATGAACACTAGTAGATCTGTAGTGAAGATAAGACCTGAAAAAATTCAGGCCTGTATGGGAATCAAACCCATGACTTCTGTGAATACCAGTGCAGGGGTTCTACCCAACTGAGCTAACAAGCCAACAGAGAGCTGTTCATTATTCTGGTTAGTGATTTTACCTGTGAAATACTCAACAATGGTGAAATAAAGATATTTAAATTATACAGGAAGTGCTGATTGAGAAATGAATTTGAAAGTGATCGCTTTCAAATTCATTTCTCAATCTGTGTCCTATATGATTTAAATATAAAAATTGTCCTACTTGCATATTTTAAGCATTATAAGCATTATTTTTGGTAAACTTAAATCCACCACTCACCTATGATATTTTTTGCACAGTGGTGGTAAATTATAAATATCACTGGATCATCAGAGCCAAAATTATGAGAATATATAGAGCAAAAAATTGTTGAATTTTTTTTTTGTCATTGTCTCTCTGCTGGTCACCACTTCAAGTGAAAGGGTTAAATATTTATCAAGTATTTAATAATTATTGAAGTTTTGTTGCCTTAAATGATCTATTAATGGCTATATAGCCATTTCCACACAGGTTGTTTAGAGCCACTGAAATGGATTGCACATTAGTTGACCTTGGGCTAAGTCATGGTGGTTCCCTTGTGGTAAAGAAGACAAATCCTCCTCAGGTGTCCTCCACATCCAGTAAGCATTCTGTGGCAGTAAACTGTTTAGGTGGTTTTGCCTGACTATGTCTGGGGATTGCTTTTAAAAAGCATTACACAAGACTTACACTTGTCTTATTTTCATACTTGGTGTTGGCTACATGTATCCACTTTGAGTTCTTGTTTCTCTGGAGTGGCTCTTTGTAATGCTATTCTAAATGCGGTATTGGTTTTTTGATATTCATTCAATAAGTTTTCCCAGAGTTGCTCGTCTTTGGAACAATTTACCTATATCTATTAGGAGAAGGGAATCACTTTCTATGTTCAAAAATGACCTATTATGTAAGACTCTACTTTTTTGCTATTGATAGCAGTAATTTAATGAAATTGTTATTTAATTTTAGTTAGCACTAAGTTTTAACATGTAGCATTTTACTATACTTGTTTTATGATACTGCCTGTCATTATGTATACTTTATTTTTGTTCTGGTTTTCATATAATTTATATAGTTTCTGGTGGCCTTTATCATTAGGGAAGTTCATTCCTGTTGCTAGGTCTTCCAACAGCTATTTAATTATATGTTTGTATGTACATATATTTATTTGCTGTAAATTGATTAAAGTAAAGTAAAGTAAGTTCTTAACACTTTGGTTGTAGATATAATGTTTAGTTCATGTTTAGGTGAGGGCCTTGCTGAGGTAAATCCTGAAAATTCTTTTGAAGCAACACCGGGCAAGAGAAATGGACTTAAAGATACTAACAGACTGCCATCAGACTCTGATCCTGACCGGCAAGATGCCAACTGCTCTCATGGAAATGACAATAGAGTTGACATTGATAATGTTGATGATGAGGGACAGGACATGGCTCCTCCATTGTTTGACAGAAGTCCTCCTCCAGAGTTAGATGATGCAATCAGAGCGCCTTTACAAGGACTGAATCCAAATGTCCTCGGTATTGGAGGAATGCAGAATTTCCCTGTGAGAGGTGGTGGTGGTCATTTGTGGGGGGAGGGGGTAAGGCTTGGTGCTGTGGAACATAATCCACATTCTATAGATCCGGTGTTAAGGGCGCAAACCCCAGGGAACCCAGGAGAGTCTGCCGCTAAGAGGTTGGAGATGAGAGAACAACAAAAGATGCAACCAGAAGCAGGTAAAAACTTACTGGCAATGAAGTAGTGTAGTGGTTATGTGTTTCAGTAAATTTCAACCAGAAGCAGGTCAAAACTTACTGGAAATGAAGTAGTGTAGTGGTTATGTGTTTCAGTAAATTTCAACCAGAAGCAGGTAAAAACTTACTGGCAATGAAGTAGTGCAGTGGTTATGTGTTTCAGTAAATTTCAACCAGAAGCAGGTAAAAACTTACTGGCAATGAAGTAGTGTAGTGGTTATGTGTTTCAGTAAATTTCAATGAAGAGGAAAACAGTACAATCCCCTGAACTCAACTACTTTATTACATGACATGTAATATCCTTACTTAGGAGTGACTCCAATAGACAATGCAGTAACTATCCTCAATATCCTACTTATTAAGCCCTCTACAAACTGTACAAACTTCACAAAGTCACAGTTTTTTCCAAAGTTCCTTGAAATAAACAATCTTTCACAACAGTTCTCTCTCTTGGTATAGCTTTCCAAACAGTGGGTCACTCCCGACAACAGCTACTAACTACTGCTACGCAACCAAGTCCTTAATATATGCATTTACAAAGTATTGCAGAAGATTCCAGAAGCTTACAATATAACTATTTTCAATTGGTACTATTACATCAAAACAACAAAACCTAACAAAAAATTCTAGAAAGTTCCAAAGGAAGTTCATGCATGCAAGTGAACACGACTAAGCATTCTAGAAATTTCTTAATACTTATTTTTAGTCACTCTCCATAACATAGGTACTGGATGCTTCTGGTTGAAGTCCAGGTTTGAGCCTTGTGCACATTCTTGTGCTGTGTTCTTGTGTAAGAAACTCGACCTTCAAAACCCCTGTTTTAACCTTAAAGTAGAAATGGGTATTGGAAAACTGTCTGGGTAACTAAAACCATCAGTCAGTAAAGGTTTAAGTGTCAGATCATAGCTGATTGACACTTCCCAATCTTTAATCATGATTGCTAAGAATGTAACAACATTGATTTATGAAAGCATGATACAGTTGGCTTAACTTCCAAAACTAAACATTCTTATATAGAAAAAAGTTCTTTTGAAATTAACTAAATGTATGAAAATGACAGTCAGTTGTGACAGAATGGTAAAAACAAGATTCCTTATTAATATATAACAGGATTGTCGGAATTTAACACCAATCCCACTAACTCAAACCATTTAATTTTGTTTCCCTTGGGAGTTCACATCAGGGGAGTTCTAATTTTATCACAAGAGAAGGTATGTTTAGTGAGGTTTGCATGTCAGTTTGAAGTTTTTCAAAAGACCCTTATGTCCTTAATAGGTCTCAGTAGAGTAAGTCAAGAGGAATTGCCAGTTTTACATCGTGAGGTTCAGCGTCTGGAGGACTTGTGCATCAACCACATCAGCCACCGTCTCCCTGGAAATCAGAGCCCCCTTGCATCCCTTGGCATTTTGCCACATGGCCTGTGTGACAGGATTATGACTCATCTGATGAAAATCAAAGCTCTCACACCAAAGACAATGCAGGCTTTCATACCCTGGTAAGCCAAGTGTTGACAGTAATCTTTTGGCACTGCTGAGCTGATGTTGACAACATTTGCTTCTTTTGCTTAAGTGTCAGCCTTGGGAATTCAAGATAAAACAGTCACCATAATAGGTGCAATGGACCAATCACCAGCCTGCTGGCCACTAGTTACATTGAATGTATTATATTAATTTTAATTAGTAATTGTGTCAATAACAAAATGCTTGAATATGATTGGTTCTTAGCAGCCCTTTATTTGTGGCTTGATTTTCCGTCTCAGGTCCAAACTGTCCAATTTGACCAGTCTGGTAATTGGACAGCCCAAATTGGACAGTTAAGCAACCAATAAAATTCAGTCACTTTAAACCATTGGCCAATAAAATTCAACCACCTACACTAAGCTAGCCAATCAATATCAAAGAAATCTTCTTAAACAAGCAAGTTGTCAGGTCTAGATTGAAAAAAAAAACTTTGTGTTGGAAAGCTCAGGTGTAATTGTGCTCTTAACTTCAAATCATCCTTGTGCTATAGGCTCTACCAATTTGAAAAAAGAGCTTGCCAGATCACTCCCTGAATTGTACTCCACGCATTCCTTTTACCATTACCAAATGTATACAATTTACAAACTTCAACACATTTTTTCTTCCTTTCTATCCATCAGTGGGCTGCGGCATGTGAAACTAGATTGCTATTCATTGGTGACAAATGAACTTCTGACAGCACTCAGGTGATAAATCAAAGTGACAAACATTTGAACTGCATCTGAATATTGTTGGAAACCAGTGTGTTCTTGTAACAAAAATAGCTGATTACTTAAAGTTGTTTTTTTTTTTTAAATTAGACTACACAGAAATCTTACTCATCTCAGCTTGAAATCTTGCCCTCTAATAACAGACAAAGCATTGGAAGCTGTTGGAGGTAAAACTGTTTACACCAGTAGGATACTGAGTTGCTCACATTAAAGGCAAGACAGAAATGTACTCCTTTCTGACTGTTAATAGTATACACTGTTACCTTGTTCTGTTGTTACCAGAACACTGTAATCATTAAAATGATTATTGTTTTTAATTCTTTTCATTCTCAGTCCTTAAGAGGTTAAAGTCTCTTAATCTTAGCCAATGCTCTCAGCTCACAGACAAGTGCTTTTTCCACATAAAAGGTTGGTGCACCTGATACCCTTCCAATATGTTTCTTCTGTTAATTGTGAAGAAGTAGTGAGAAATGCTTTCAAATAACATTCAACCCCCTTATTTTTTTTGGGATATAAGGACATGATTAGTGAATTGGCAATAATTTGTTTCATTTAAACTTCTTTCTTTTGTTTGCAGGACTTTCTTCACTAATTACATTACAGATGGACATGACAAAAGTATGAAAACTTTTACCAATCCTGTAAAAAACTCACTGTAGATTATATCCGTAAGGTCATTTCTCTAAATAGAAATTGCACCAAGATTTGTTGTCTATCAAACTTTACCTATTACCTGTTTACCATATAGGAATATTAGGCAGTTCCTGTGCTTGTTTAGGAGCCGCAGTACCTTATAGATACTTTTAAGCTTATAATTCCTATAATGACATCATGAGTCAACAATTATATTTTTGGGTACCGGCACTTACTAAATTCATGTTTTCAAAACTTGTTCCTTTTCCTTTACTGAGAATTGGTTCATATTCATTTGATGGAAAAAAGTCATTACTTAATTCCAAAAGAGAGAAAAATGGGAGGGGACACTATGCTTATTTGCAAGAAAATGATGAATTTCCTCTCTGGTGGGTTCCAACCGTAGAGATGTGTGAAATTATGTGCTGTAAGGATGACTGCAATAAAATACTGTGGAAGGACCATAAGTAACTGTTGGAACAAAACAAGATTTTCTAGAAGTGTACCAGGCACACAGTTTCAAATCCTCTTGCAATCTTATGAAATGGTATCTTTTCCCCATGAAAAGTAAGGAAATGTGTTCAGACAAGTTCTCAATTAGTTCATTTTGTGTAAATTCCATCCTGTATCCCTAACACAAGCTATCTCAACTTTGATGTCTTACCTTGCTGGTGAATTATGCTCAGTTATACCTCTAACTGTTACCGATAACAATCCCTTTAGGGACCATCTTTTCTGAATATTAATCCTCAGTTCAATCCATTTATTGTAAAAGTGTTGTTGGTTAAAGCATATATTTAAGACTTAAGCAAAGGACTTCAATGTATTTTATACTCAAGTGTCTACTGCTTTATCTTCTGAACCTACAGTGAAAATTACGTACTTTCTTCCAGACAACTGACAGAGGTGTTTGCCATTTTCTGGAGAATGCTGCATCATGTCCCAACTTAGTCAATTTCAGTCTTTGTGGCACGGCCATCACAGATAACAGCTTAGCTGCAATGTCTGGTTAGTGGTGGATTTCTGGTTGTGAATTTTTTTTTTTTCACTGTCCGCCCTTCCCAGTTTGTTTTTGTCTAACAAATCTTTCCTCTTTCTTCAGGTCTCAAAGCCCTGAAGATTCTTGCTGTTAGTAATACAAAGGTACCAAACATGTCTTGACCTTTAACTCTTCTTTGAGATGATTCCTCAAAAAAAAAAAAAATGGCATGGAACATTTCTTTTAACTTATTCCTTAAACATTCCTTCCAATGTCTGTTTCAAAAAATACAATAAAAAAAGAGGTCACCCTGCTTGTTTAAGAGATATGGTGAGCAAAACTTACCCATTTATGCCTGTACTGGTACTAATCACATGCACGTAATTTCATCACATTATTCACGTACTAGCCTGATTACAAGATTTTATGCAGGATATAGGATGTGCATTGCAATACTGAGGAACAATCTTAAGTATCTTAGTTTTTCAGTACAGTAGTGCTGTCGATTCATGTTAAGATCAGGGAAATAAAGGACATGATCACCAACCTAAGATGGTTTGATTGTTACACTGTCAAATTTTCCCTCTCAGCACCAAAAGAAATGTATAGAGAAGTGTATGGGGAACACAGATTCTGATATTAGGGTGTAAATAGTTAACAGTAGTTTCTATAATAATAATAATATTATTAAATTTTATTTATATAGCACGCATATCCTGTACTCAAGGCGCTTTACAATTTTTATATAAAATACAATATATTAAGCTAAAAGTAAATACAATAATACAATCAAGCTAAATGACTATGTAGTTATTGTAATAGATATAATTGTATTGTAAATATGATTCTAATATGCATAAAACTGTAGGCAAACTTTAAAATAACGGGCAATCGTCAACATATTTAGTAAAAACATAGGTTTTTGGTCTTTTCTTAAAGTTTCCAACAGTGTTAAGGTTACGTAGGTCATATGGTAAACTGTTCCAAAGTCTTGGGGCCAGGTTCCAAAATGCTCTATCCCCATAAGTTTTTGTATAATTTTATGACCTAAGTTCTTTAGCAAATTTTTCTAGTCACAAAATGATGATACAATTTAGATTGTATACTCAGTCTGATAGATATCTCAACTTGTTTCTCACTCTTTTTTTTTCTTTGATAGATCTCATCTCTAGAGGTTGTTCAACACCTTCATCTGTTGGAGAATTTGAATGTTTCACACTGTTCTATATTACGTGATGACAGTTTGACAGCTCTGGAAAATCATCCATCACTTTTGTCTCTCAATTTACTCTCATCAAATATCTCCAACAATGGACTCCGTCATTTGCAAGGTGATGACAGTGCTTTAACCCTTCCAACTAACAATGAATCATAAAACCTAGACATACTAGAATATCATTTTTCTGAAGCATCTTGATTGGCTGGAATCTTAAATCCTTGAATCTAATTGGCTAATCACATGCTCTTAACCGGTCCAGCTTTTTAATACATGAACCAGCAAAAAAAAAAATATATAATTATAGTAATTTCTTGAATAACTACCTATACTCCAGTAAGCACCTTCCTGCAAATAAGTGCCCACTCCCAAAAAGCACCCTCCCTGAAATAAACTCCCACCTCCTAGGCCATCATATCAAACAAGTGCCCCCTTAAAGAAACACCTCCCTTTTCATCCTCCTTTACTAGTTTAATTAGGAGAGATACAAGGAAAATCTGGTTTTATTGCCACTTTATTTATAACTTTTAAAGCTTCAACCATAGGGGGGTCGGTAAAGGTTGATAGTTTTTTAATAAGCACCCCCCTAGATTAACCACCTTCCTTCCAAAAAGCACCCCCATTTTTAGCTGAAATTTTGAATATTAAGTGTTCAGGCACTCATTCAAGGCAGTGTTATTTGCCGGTATTGGTTGATCCATTTAAAAAAAAACTGTGCCCTTTGGCATAGTTTTTTTCCTAAGTATACAAACCTACCTCCAGATAAATAACACTATATTTCTAAACAGGCCAGAGCTTTCTAACTTGCATGCTTCCATTGTATCAGGTCTGAAGTTGTCAACTTTAAAACTACCAAACAGATTGACTATCACAGATGAAGGGCTATGCAATATTCAAGGTAATAATAAACAACTTTGAAATCTCACTTCTCAAGATTTAATTGATGGAAAGAAGAATCAATAAATGTTCTTCAGAAACCAGATGTCTTATTGTAACCTCAGGAAAAAGCATATAAAAAATTTGAAAATTTACCTCTTACTATGTTGTTGGATTTCAAAGAGTGGCTCAGTCGTTTACAAATTTTCTTCAAATGTTTGGGTATGAATGCAATGATTTTGAATACTACTCAGAAACTTGGCTACGCATGAATCACATATCAATAACCTCAATGCCTGGTTCTCAAACAAAGCTGTTCTTGTCATCGCAATTAATCGTGGTTTGGGTCAAGATTGGGTTTTGATATTTAGCTTGATGCTTATTATCCAAACCGAGCACCAAGAGTTGTGAATTTAGAGGAATGTGACTGTAAGGTTGCCTGTAAGTGGGCAGGTCTCTGAGTACTGTGGTGTGTCCATGGTGACATTTTAGGTACCATTGCAAGACATTTTTTAAATGTCTAAACATTAAAAAAATGTTTAGATAAATCTCTCTGATCTCAAAATGCAGCCAGTATCATAAGTTCACTTTTGCATGGAAAGATGAAACAATTGATTTTCAGATCATACTTCTCCTTCAATTAAATAATGCCTGGTAAAGTTTTAAATTATACCAACCATGTATGTGGTTACCCAAAGTAATCAACTCTAGATCTGACAACTTTTTCCAAAATACTTCGAGGCTTTCACTCCCAAGATCTCATTGGTAACTCTCCTTACCGTCTGTCATACAATTCTTTTGATCTAAATTGAGAGAATATGGTATTGGGTCAGTGTAAAATCTAATGGATATTTTTTCTTTTTTTCTCATCACATGTGTTCTTGATATTGCATTGATATTGTAAGGAGAAATTCTGTCTTGGTTACTCATGGGAGTTAAAGGGTTCATAAGTAGATTAAACTTAGTTCACTCAAAAAGAACGTAACCTTGAAAAAGTTAGACAGACTTGATTTGCATTTGTTTTCCGTTGTAGAGAGTGTTAGTAGATACCATTGGATATGAGATTTAATCATGAAAACTGATGAAAGTAAAATGATACATGAGCCACTTGAGAAACCATGATCCTTCCCTTTGACAAGGAAGAACTTATTGCACAATCATCATCCAATGTTATCTTTATGTTACTTTTCCATTATAGGCCTCTCGTTAGTATCACTTGACTTGTCAGATTACATTCATGTTACAGACCTTGGTGTCCACTCAATAGCAAACATGACAAGGTAAATCTTATTTTATAGATTACAGATTAACAATTACTGTTGAAGCCCTTGCCATTCTTATTTTGCATGTGCACTCAGTCAGGGCAATGATTTTAGAGAGTGCAGAAGGTCTGCAAACAGACTACTTCTTTTGTGCTGCTGAAGGTTCCCTTGTTGCCCTTAAGAGTTTGTTTTTCTGTGCATTAATAGCAATGATGCACAGGACAGGAGGCTATGGAGAGAGACTGTTGTTGGCCTATGCTGCTGAGGAGTGAATGGCAAATACACAATAGCAGTGATAGGTTGTTTTCTTGTCCCAGATCAGTCTCCCGAGTGGGAGGCACAAAATTAATGGACTCTCGAGTAAAGGGTCCAGGTTCAAGCCTTGATCAAGGTCACGTTGTTGTGTTCCTGGGCAAGAAGCATATCTTAATAATATTTATAATATTTGTTGATTTGTATTGCACAAATATCAATCCAGAGAAAAAAATTTTCATCTGCGCATAAATTTTCTTTACCCTGCCCAGTGGTATAAATGGGTAAAAGAAAACTCTAAAGGAAACCTGACAAATGCAGGGGGGTGGGGGTGGGGGGTAACCTGGGATGGACCAGCCTCCAATCCATGGGTAGTGATGATAGTCTTAAAAACTAAACATATTTAAGAAATCAGGATGAGGTCTGGCAGTAAAGGGTTCTGCAATGTCTCTTGGAGAAGTTTTGATCAAAAGCAGAGTTAGGGTAATGATTGTATATTTTCTAGAATCTATATCCAGGTTTTATGACTAGCGTGGGTAGTTTTTTTTTTTTTTTCTTTTTTAATAGAACTTGAATTTTTTTTTACTCCAGACAATATTTCCAAATTACATCTGCAAGAACTGTATCTTGATTCTTGAACTGCACAATGTTAAGCATTTCAAGGTTGAAACAGGTATGCCTTGCTGGTGCAGACAGGCAACTGCTTGTCATTTTTTTTAGTTATTTAGATGCCTTATTGTCGCATTTTTCTTTCATATTACAGACTAACACAGTTGTCACTTAGCAATACCAAACTGACAGATGAAGGAATGAAAAGTCTTGCAGGCAAGATTTAGTTTCATACATTTATGGTCAAAGTTTGGGAGTTGCTTGAATATAAACTGCCATGGAATATTAGACAGAAGATAAGGCTTTTTAGATGTACATGTTTAGCAAAGTTCACTGAGACTCTCAGGGAATTCAATTGGTGTCATTGTAGTGTGGTGGGAAGTCTGAGGATGAAATACTCAGGAAGTCTTTACACCAAACTAACTAATTAATAGATGCAGGAGATGGGACCTACAGTTTATTTGTCCTTATCTGAGAAGACTAGAATGTCTATCTATTTCTTGATATTATAGAAAAGGTAGCGCATTCTCCTCAGTTATTTTAAGACCTTGAGTGTTGGTCCCGCTGGGGCTCGAACCATTGACCTCGACCTCCCGCACAATAGTCCAGCGCTCTAACCAATTGGGCTAACCGGGAGGCGGTTAGCTCAATTGGCGGTTACCTCCATCAATCCTTTATACTTTAGACCCTAACATCGGCATCCCTACTCTCTCATTTTCCTACACTGTAACTTAGTTTTATCGACTCAGTTGAAATTGTAAATTGGCCACCGTAAAGAGTTAAAAAGTTGATGTTTCGAGCCTTAGCCCTTCATCATAGCCAAAGACGAAGGACTAACACTCGAAGCATCAGCTTTTTAACTCTTCATGGTGGCCAATTTACAATGTCAACTTAGTTGATAAAACCAAATTGCATTGTTACACCAACACAGCACCACAGTTTACTTACCCCTTTCTTTCTTACACATTTCATTTGGTACTGATAAGGAGACTGAACTAATTTAACAATCAAAGCTTAATTTCTTAGGTTGGTGATCATTTCCTTTATTCTCCTGATCTTAATGAATGATTCAGCAGTTTTACTGAGAGGAAAAATGAGATCATGGTCATTCTTGGGGTTTATAAAGTTTTGGGTTTTTCTTTAAAAGTATAGTTGTTTTGAATTATTTTCGATTTTGGTTACTTGTATCTATTTAAGCTACTTTGGTTTATGGGGGAGAGAATGGGATGAAGTGGTAAATAATAAAAAGCAAAATTAATTTAGGTGAGGGGGGGAGGTGTTGGATTAGAGATGTGATCCAAGGTTGGATATCCCCAGATTTTACATTTCTAGAGGCTTGTGTCCCTCAGTACACATACATAATTGAAACTTGTCCAAGACCTTAACACTTGGTAAAATTAAACAGGCTGTGAACAGTATGTCATAGTAACAATAAGTTGACTGAATTTGCTCAATGTTATGCAAAATTCCTTCAACAGCTCTGAGGGAACTTGAAGAACTGGCTTTAGATAGAACAGCGATAACTGACGAAGGTTGTACAGTTCTATCAAGTAAGTATTCTCTAGGCAATAATCTGTGTGTTGGCCTGGTAGCTATCTGTGAACCTTCATGCTTTAATGTGCACCATTTCAAGTATGTGACAAGGCTTTGATATTTCATTTAAATTTTCACAGTTTTTTTTCCTATCATCTGTGACTCTAGATCTAACCGCCTCCCAGTTAGCTCAATGGATAAAGCGCTGGACTGTTGTGTGGGAGGTCGAGGGTTCGAGCCCCGGCCGGACCAATACTCAGGATCTTAAAATAATTGAGAAGAATTTGCTGCCTTTCTATAACATCAAGAAATAGTTAGATATTCTAGTCTTCTCGGATAGGGACGAATAAATGGAGGTCCTGTCTCCTGCAGGGTTGGGGTAGGAGACGTTAATTTCCCACACACGAGATTACTGTGTGATGGATCTCCTCCCCTGGGGTGGGATGGGTGGGTTTATTGGACCTGCAGTAATTGGCCCAAGCTGTTGCGGTGTCCCTGCTTGTTGGCGAAGCTAAGTAAATCATAAATCAAAATCATCAGTTCAAAACTCAGGTTCTATTGAAATGTATGGAGACAAAATAATATTCCCCGTCAGTGCTGTTAACTTTGCCTAATTTTTGTTTTGTTTTCACAGATTTCCAGCAACTTAGGATTCTTGGTTTGTCGTCAACAAGAATAAGCAACAAGCTTCTGTTAAATGGAGCATTAAACCACTGCAAGGTTCTTTCAAAACTGAACCTGAGTAGAACCAGAGTGTCAAACAAAAGATTGTCCAACCTTGTTCTGCCATTACTAAGTCAAGTCAACCTAGATTGGACAAGAGTGACTAGTGATTGCCTTACACTTCTCACAGGTAGGAACTAAATGATCTTCTGTATATCTTTCATCTTCACAAGGGTTCCAATTATAACTTTTTCATAGGCAGCTGTGGATTTCATAATGGGCAGTTGTGCCATAAGGTGGAACCCAAACACAAGAGCCTGTTTGCTGGCTAGACAGATGGCAGTAGCAGATCTTACAGGCGACATAAGACCACCGTAACTGGCTTTTATTGAAACCCTACTTCAGAATCTTTTTTTACTTCAGATCTTTTTCAAATGATTCCTAATTAAGGGTGGACAATAGAATCTTAATCTTTGTCTAGCAAACAAAATTTTACTTCAATGTTGAATCAGTGTTTAGTTTTCTAACCAACAAGGCCACCATGTCATTCTCTTGTTACTGTGACTTTGTGTTGTCTTGAAGTACAACTTAGATCAGTTAATTATAGCAATGTATCTCTTCTTTTGTCATTTGTTTTTCCTTGCCAACACCTTCCTTTCTTCCCAACTACCCTCCATTCATTTTTTCATCCATTCTACCTTTTGTACTCTTCTTTCTCTCTCTCATTTATTCTGCTTTGGTTTACAGGTTGTCCTTCATTGAAAGCCTTGAGAACAAACAATTGCACTCCTCCATCACCAGATTCTGAAGATTCAGATGATGAGCAGGAACAACAATAATTACTTTTTGGTTGATGAGATGAAGTATAAAGGGGGAAAAATTCAACTTTTTTTTGCTGTGCTCCTACACTGAGCAAAACGCTCTGTTTGGATTGCAAAATATTCTGTGGGATCTCACTTCCATCATTTGTTTTTTAAAATCAAGAGAAATGAGGAATTTTCATTTTAAAGTTTCAGGCCGCTAAAAACCACAGACTTCATCCACGGCAAATGTTGTTCAGTATGTTTAGTCAAGATCACAAATTAAAAGTTGAAAAATTTGTCTAAATTATAATTATGTTGAAGTTCTGTGGCATTTGGTGTTTTCCTAAGGGATCAAAGTCAATTCAGAAAAAATAATTATTGTAGTTGTATATTTTCAAAGTGGCAGAATTGAAGAAGTCAATAAACTTAAACATGTTACTTTTTCCTTTGATATTTTGTCTTTATTTAAGGGGTGTTGTCCACAATTTGGGTGAAAATCAACTAACTCCTATTACTGTGATACCTTACAGCTGAATATAATTTGTTCAACCTGGCTGTAGTAGAGAGAGAGGAGTGCAAAATCTTTAAGTTTATCTACCCTTTTTTTTCTTATCCTGCACCTTTAACTCCTCTCTGTCCCCTTACTTCAAAGTACTGCAGTTTAATTATCAACTTGAATTGTTTGCAGTTAGGCATTTCTTTCCTACTCTGAAAGGGTGTGTTGTACCCAAGAAGGACCTTTATAACCCTTCTTATGAGTGACTGACCTCTAACTTCTCCTGAAAGTATCACCCCTTGAATCAAAAGTTAAGTTTGTGAGAATACAGGAAAAGATCACCAATTTCTCCTCCAACCTCCATCCATTCCTCCAAGTCTCTTCTTGTTAGCCTGGGCGGGTCCACTCTTACTCTTTGTCCCCTATGAAGAAGAGAGAAAATAGATGACATTTTACCTTCACCAAATTTTGATTGAAGTCAAATATTATCAATAAGAAGTCTTAGATTGGAAGTAAACTTGAGAATAAAAAAAGGTTTTTGTGGAAGATATTGAAAATAATACTCTAGCAAATCGATATAGACCGCTGAACACTCCACCCTACGAAGGATGGCAAAGGGGTTTAAAAATTTGGGATTATTAAATCATATGAGTCAGTGGACAGATTAGGCTAGATTGCAGAATACCTAGCCACTCATTTACATGTCATTAATAAGAATAGCCTCTATTGTGCTATGCTTCGTTCTTCAAAGCCTCCCGACATAGGTAAATGAGGTGGCCAGGTATTCTACAATTGCTCCACAGATCAATATCAGAATCATCTCAAATGAATAAATCGAAAGATTACTGTGGGGCGGGAATCTCTTAATAAACATGAAATGATTGTTATCGATTCGCCAAATAGTTATCTTTACTTCCGTTCTAAACTACACGAGCCTGTGATATTTGTCCTGTGGAGTGCACCAATAGAACCACGTGAGGGATATAAAATACGTGATCTGATTGGCTTACGTTTGTTTGAAAGAAGCGGAGGGAAAAACGAACAAGATGGCTGAGTGGTGAAGACGGTTTTCTTCTGAAGAAGTTTACGTTTGAATTTTGCCCGCGGATATTGCATTTTTAGCAATTCCAATCCATTAAAGAATAAGTCATGTCCGTTGCAGCTCTTGTAGGATCTTTTGATGATATCGTCCGCTCCACAACGGTACTTGCCGAAGGAATTGAAGGAGGTTTGCTACGGCCAAGTTTTGTTTAATTTTTCGTCGTTTTGTGAAATGATTTTGTTTGTTTGTTTGTCATATAAGAAAATTTCGAATCTTTGTGTTGCATGTTTTCGGTAAGACAGGTTTTTTTTGTCGGTCTTGTAAGCTCATTTGAAGAATTTCGATAGTTTCAAACTTGTGAACTTTGATCTGAAATGATACGTTATGTTGATCGACTTGGACATGGAGTAAAATTGAAATTGTTCTCTTTCTTCTCTAGAATTCATCAAGTTTGTATCACAGCAGGAAGAATGCCGAAAGAAATGGCTCGTTGCAGAGAAAGAGGCCGTTCGACTGAAGCAAGAAATCGCCAGGATCACAGTAAGTTTAGCTAGGGATTGTAAAACGCACCCAAATCCTGTTTCTTTCAAGAGTTGTTTCTCAATGGTTTTGAAATATATTCGACCAAAATTTTCTCTCAAAATTATTTTTTCAGGCTGAGAACGAAGCACTTGAAGTAAAACTCAAACATGCAAGGTATTTAAGACAAAAAAAATTGAGATCAAGGAATCGTTAAATTTTAGCTGTCTGCATACCTTCATTGTTTCGTTTTGTCATGAGCGTATATTGCTCTGCCTTTTTTGCCAGGAGTCAAGTTGAAATAGAGATCAAGAAGAGAAGAAAGGCAGAAGCAACCCAAGATCACTTGGTAAGAGAATAGAAATAGAAAAAAATAAACTCATAATTTTTATCACAGGTAACCCAGGCTCACTGTTTGTGTCGCGTACACATGGTTAAACAGGGAGAACGTATGGGGCGACGTTTGGGTCTGGAAATTTGCTTGAAAATGGAAATAAAAATTAATGAAACTTACCATGTGGTGATTTGTTGTTGTCCTTAATTATTTTCCCCAAGACTTCGTGTACATACTAAGGACAACAACAAATTGCCACATGGTAAGTTTCATTGATTTTATTTCCATTTTCAAGCAAATTTCCAGAACTAAACTTCACCCCATATGTTCTCTCTCTTTGACCATGTGTACCTGACACAAACAGTGAGCCTGGTTTACCTGTGATTTTCATTAGTGACAACATAACATCATTTGAGGGATGCTATGTACAAATTTAATAATGCATTTAATTTATAGAAACTACTGTGAAAAGCATCTCTGATAGTCATTTTTTAATGACAGGTCTTCCATATAAAGAGATCGTCTCCATTTTTCCCCTTCCACTCCTGTGCAATGGCAGCATTTAGCGAGTTTGTAGTCACTGAAAGCTGAAAAGGGCCTGGTACCGCAATCAGCATTTTTCTCCCCAGATCTGATTGTTAATTCTCCCCTCTAGCTGCTACACAATTTCTTTTAAGTTAGTTGCAGGAGTTTGGTGTTAGATCAAGAACACAACTTCTACCTGATAAGTTTCTCTCTGCTGAATGATAGATGGATTTTATAGGAAGAAGTTACCTGCCAATCACTTCTGGGAGTGAATTAAAGGGTTGGGTTGTATTGTTGTTTTAAACAATTTCCTATCCTAATTTGTACAAGATTCTTTTAACACTGATTTGTTGCATAAATCTCAATTTTCTTGTAGGAAAGACAAGTGGCCTTGATCCGTGAACTACTAAATGACAAAGACACAATGAGCAGGTTAAATGACAATGAAAGACAAACACTGATACAGTTGAGCCAGTGTCACCCTGAGGATTTTGCCAGTCCAAGGAAAAGGTTTGTGGGACTGACTTGTTGGCTTCTGAGGTTACCGTTTTTAACCCTCTGGGGCGTGATAATATCAGTATGTGTATACTCCATACTGTTCCCTTACATTTCCTTAAGTGCTGACTAAGAAAATTTGATAAAAAAAAATCAAGGCCTCCTTTGGTTGGTAACCATTCCCTGTTTTCTTGTGACATGAATGTGTGATTTTAGGGGTGGTTATTGCTGGGAGAAATTCAAGACCAGTCACTCTAAAGTGTCAAAAGGTTAACAATGATATCTCTTGTGAAGGATTTGCCAAGTATATCTGTAGGAGGGTGATATTACAAATTATTAAATGGCTGTCTCACAAGGACTGGGAACTACCAAATTCACGAATTTGATTGGCTGAAATCAATATTGAAAGCGGTCTAGATCTTCCCATCTAGACCGGCATCTAGACTGGTCTAAAGAAAAAAGGTACAAGAAATATAAAAAAATGGCATATAAGACACAGCCATATAATAAACATCTTGTTAACCGAGCTAGGTCGGTATGGGAGAATCTTGACCTCGGTCGCTGGTACAGACCTCACTGCGTTCTGTCTGTACTGGCGACCTCGGTCAAGATTCTCCCATACAGACCTCCCGCTCGGTTAATAAGAACTAATCAATAGTTACTACGGAGAAAATTACAACTGTGAACTTAGCCTGAGTGTGGGCTGTTAAACGAGGTTTCTGTGGCTCGTAAGATCTGTGGCTCGAATCACCACAGACGAGTTAAAATTTCTTCGTTGACCTACTTACATAACACCACTTCGACATCTTTCTATACTGTTAAAAGTTTAAATGTTTGACTTTTCTTTACATCACAGGACGGAATTTCTACCGTATCTAGACGAGTCATTTAAAGAAGTTTTAAAGTTGATTCAGGTAGGAACCTCCTGTCTTTTAATATCGCAGCGGATGATTTCAAATNACCGAGCTAGGTCGTTCTGTATGGGAGAATCTTGACCTCAGTCAAGATTCTCCCATACAGACCTCCCGCTCAGTTAACAAGAACTAAGTATTATTCAACTACACTTGAGGGTACAAATAACACCCAAAACGAGTACAAACATCATGAGGTATTTGTACTCAAGAGAATTGGTTAGACCGGTTTTCTTACATTGCACAAGCAATGAATTGGATTGAAGTTATAAACCAGTTTTATAGATTAAACTTTCCTGTTAGTATTAATTATTTTTCCTGGGGAAGGCTTGTATGCCTGAATTATTATAATTTTTTTTTTTTCACATTTTATTTTAGGCGCTTGAGTACGCAGGATGAATCTACTGGGTCAATCTTGTCTCCTTCAGACATTAGTTATGACAACACAGAGGAGGACTTGGTAGGAATGTTTTTAGAACATTGTAACTATAATTGTAATCTTATTGTATAAAATGATCATTTTCCTTACTCACGTCAAAATAAGTTTACAGGGCTGGTACTGGTCCTGGAAAGTCCTAGAATTTTATTTTGACATTTTCCAGGACTGAAAAGGTCCTGGAAAAAGACTACAGGTCCTGGAAAGTCCTGGATATCTGCCCAACTTAAGCAATAAAATTTTCAGAATTTGTCATAATATGTACATAGACCATGAGGAGAATTGATTTTGAAATATTAAGAATGCTAGGGTTCAAGGACTCTTTTGTAAATCACTTATCAGTGAAATTGATATCCTCAATAAAGATTATTATCATTTTTAAGGTGAAATTTAAAGCCCTGGAAAATCAATTTAAGTCCTGAAAAAGTCCTACCATAGTCTTGAAATTTCAAGACCATAGCCTGATGTGAGATGGCCAGATCAAACATTTTAGTGTTTCATCTACTAGGTAGATTTACACAACAATATCACCATCTTCATATAATATTTTCCAGTAAATTAAAATCATTGCTGACATGCAGGCCTTCATTTGTTAATTTCCAGGATGTTTCCCAACCCAGGAAAACCATGAGAAAGGCAGTAAGTATTAATGACAGTGAAGCTCACAGTAATAGGGGATGGTACAGTGGGTGGTGAGAGTGTTTGCCTCCCACCATTGCGGGTTGAGTTTGTTGTTGGTTCTCATCCTTGTAGCAATGCTTCACAGGTTTATATCTGGGTCCTCTGGTTTTCATCCCTCCACTGAAATCATCTTTCCGAATTCTAATGCAACGTGGAAACGGTGGACAAGGAGAGCCACCTCATGGAATGGTCGCTGCTAAATTCCCATTTTTTTTTCCTATTATTATTTTTTACCACTTAGTACTTATTTTTTATGTGAAATTCTTTATTTATTAATAGTAGTAAGTACCAAAAGAAACATGCCCAGGGTCATACGTCTGGAATTTCATATAACTACGTAGGTTAATACATACATAGGTTAATTGACCACTCCCCATGGGGGA